ATTCATACATAGGAGACTGAAATGCTGTCGTGTCAATCCTATGTGTCAGCAATGTAGTGAACGGATGAGGATCCATCTGTGTTATATTCGGAAGATTGTGTACAATCTCTTTCTCAATGTACACTTCCAAACAATTAGGTGGTTGGAAACTTCCACCGATACTTATTATGGTGTTCAACGCCTCATCGTCATTTATCGGTAATATTTTGTATTTGCTGGTTGCTTGCCACTGGCGATAAGGATATCTACATTTGAAGATCAATCGGACTGTTTCCCCGTAACTTGCCACCTTGGGCATAAACATCTCCTCCAAATTGCCAAGTGTGGTGTCAAGTTGCACCCCATATATCCCTTTGGGCTCAGCATCATATGACACACCTTCATCGGGATCCCGAATTATGTTTCCCCCCCAGTAGAAGATAATTGGAACAGTTGCCATATACTTGCTTCAATGAAACAATAAACATTAAAGTATCAACAATATACATATATCGAATTCTACTTCTAAAACAAACATTAAAAGAAGAACAATAAATTTTCAAGAAGTCACATTTATATCATAAGTGACATTTTCCTATCAAAATCAACTCTCTCATTTTTTGTCAATTTATATTTTCCAGGGTTGAAGGAACTGTAGAGGTGAAACATTAATTCAATTTATATTTTGTCAACTGTATATTTGTGTCTCAATTTGATTATTACTGTTTATTTTCCCATTTTTCTCACTTATTTTTATTCGTATAAAACAACAGCTGAGATTTCATCTCTACGTGGAGTTTTCATTTACTTCCTATGTGAAGACTCCTATCTTCTCTACGTGAATGTTCTTTGTTGTCATTGCTCTTTTGTCTTAATTTAAAAAAAACATCACAACAAGTATACTTCTTGTGTTAATTCTTTTGAATTAGTGGCGAAAAATAAATTCTGAATCACATTGCAGCAATGACTTCATATGTGATCCCTCCCTTAATATGATCAATTTGTAAAAGGCATTCACTGAAAATAAATAAATAAATAAATAATAATAACGACTCTACACAACCGTTAATTTAGGCAATGATTTAATCGTACGCATGTAAGCGGGACCAATTTTAAAAACACGTATTTTGTTTTCTTTTCATAAATCTTGATCTATTTTTTAGTATTTTCATAAGGTAGACAGATATATCACACATTTAAAAAACACTTCATTGTATGAAGAATTTTTGTTATGCAGTGAGACTGGACAAAATTGGACAAATCATACAAACATCTTAAATCATAGTGTAAGTTTTGTAGATAATTAAATATTTCTTCCATTGAGTTGAAAGAACGCGATTGATTTGGACAATATAAAATAGAAGTTGCAAACATTGTTATTAATTTTTTAAAACTGGTGATCCAACTCTTTAGATTCATGGACAATATAAGTTAATTTGATTTGCTCAAACTTGTGCTCAGGGACCTTAATGACAAAGTTATTTCCTATGTCAACTAGTAACCCTCGTCCTCTTTGTAGAGGTCATAGAGGCTTTCTTATAAAATTAAAACAAAAGCTCATTTTGGATCGTTCTGAAAAATAGGAAAAAAAAATTAATTTATTTACTCCTTTTTTTCTTAAACATACAAAAACAAAAAAATAATTAGAGAGATAATTTATAATGGCCAAAAATGAGAGAGAATTAAATTGAAGTTTCTGGTTAAATGTATGGACTAAATTTTGGATAGTTAACTATGTGAATCTATCGGGCCATCCGTACCAATTATTTAGTATTACGAAACATAGGCTTACCCATCAAAGTGTCATTTATTTTATTTTTTTTTCCTTTTTACCCACTAAATTGCTATGGACTATTAATTAAAATAGTTTAAGACTCTTTTCTTGCATATATTATAACTAGCCTAATAATGACTTGTAATTATATAAATAAAAATAAAAATTATTAAAACATAACGTTTAGATTTTCCATTTCAATGGTGGTGGACAGTCACAAAGCGGGAGTGGCGATAAGTCACTTCGTTCAATACCCATTAGAGAGAATTAAATTGAAGTTGCTGGTTAAATGTATGGACTAAATTTTGGATAGTTAACCATGTGAATCTATCGGGCCATCCGTACCAATTATTTGGTATTACGAAACACAGGCTTACCCATCAAAGTGCCATTTTCTTTTTTTTCCTTCTTACCCACGAAATTACTATGGACTATTAATTAAAATAGTTTAAGACTCTTTTCATGCATATATTATAACTAGTCTAATAATGACTTGTAATTATATAAATAAAAATAAAAATTATTAAAACATAATGTTTAGATTTTCCTTTTCAATGGTGGTGGACAGTCACAAAGCGGAAGTGGCGATAAGTCACTTCGTTCAATACCCATTACAGAGAATTAAATTGAAGTTGGTGGTTAAATGTATGGACTAAATTTTGAATAGTTAACCATGTGAATCTATCGGGCCATTCATACCAATTATTTGGTATTACGAAACACAGACTTACCAATCAAAGTGCCATTTTCTTTTTTTTCCTTCTTACCCACGAAATTGCTATGAACTTAAGACTCTTTTCATGCATATATTATAACTAGTCTAATAATGACTTGTAATTATATAAATAAAAATAAAAATTATTAAAACATAATGTTTTGGTTGGTTAGCTTGGAGGGGCAGAGTGCAAAATGATCTTACATACAATTTACAAGTGAGTATGTGCTTATATGCAGACACCTGCAATAAGCTATGTCCTAAAGTATGGATTTCGATAGTTAACAACTAAGTGGAAACCTTTACCTAAACCCAAATGAAAATAAATTCTAAGAATTTGTAATCATATTTTGGGTGCCTGACCCCAAATATAGTGAAATAAACCAAACGAAATTAAACCAAATTTTTTTTATTTAAATAAAATAGAGTCAAAATTAAATATTTTTAGACAACATGTTATTTTCATATATTATTTTCAAGTCAATAAAAATATTTTTTTTGAATAAAATAGAGTCAAAATTAAATATTTTAGAGAACATGATCTTTTATTTGAGAGAACATGATCTTTTCATTTATTATTTTGAAGTAAATACAATTTTTTTTTAATAAAAAACATTCAAAATTAAATATTTTTTGTTTAATAATTACATTTAGTAGAAATTAGACATTTTGATTCAAAAAATATAGACATTAACAATTTCTGAAGCATAATTTGATAAAAAAATATAGACATTTTGATTCACAAGCATAATTTCAAAATTTCAATTTCTGATTTCAAATTTCAAAATATAGACATTTTGTAATTCCAATTCAACAATTCTCAATTACATGAATTTCGTAATATGACATTAACAATTATGAATTATATGAATTTCAAAATTTTAAATTTTATTCTTAATTAAACAAAATTACTTTTAAAACCCTAATTTCAAACCCTAATTTCCTTTTAATTCCTCTTAACAAGCAAAAAAAAAAACAATTTCCAATTCAACAAATATAAGTTGGTTTATTCAAAATTCAAAATATAAACATTTTGATTCACAAGCATAATTTCAAAATCCCAATTTCTGATTTCAAATTTCAAAATATAAATATTTCATAATTTCAATTCTCAATTCTCAATTCTCAATTATATGAATTTCATAATATGGCATTAACATATTTATGATTTATGAATTTATGAATTTCATAATTCCAATTTTCAATTCTCAATTCTCATATTTATGATTTATTTAAAAAATTCAAAAAATTAAAAAAATTCCAAACTTGATTTATGATTCAAAAGCATAGAAATTCACAAGCATTACAACCCTTAATAATGTGAAGCCTAAAATGTCATTCTAAAAGGATGTGTGAACAATCTGATATCGAGCAACAATTATCATTAGAACCCTAATTTCATAACCACACTGATAAAGCGTAAAAAATCCAAACCCAAATATTCAATTCACAAGCAACATCCAAAAATTCAAAAGCATAAAAAATTCCACAAATTCAAAAGCATTCACATTTCTGATTTCGGATTTCCAAACCCTAATTTTTGATTTCAAAAAATTCCAAACCCTAATTTCAAAAAAAAATTCAAAAAATTCCACAAACCCTAATTTCCAAACCCTAATTCCACAAACAAATTCAAAAAATTCCAAACCCAAAAAATTCCAAACCCTAACACATTTAATAATTCACATACAAAACCCTAACATTCACAGCAAATTAAAACACATCACATTTTCACAAACACAAAAAATAAATACATAAAATTAGGGTTAAATGTCATACCACGGAGAGAGAGAGAGAGAGAGCAGAGAGCAGAGATCAGGGTGAGAGCAGATAGCAGAGGGAGAGCGATAGTGAGCCGGCAGAGCGAGATCGAGTGAGTCTGAGAGCAGAGGGAGATGGAGAGTGAGAGATGAAGAGTGAGAGATGGAGAGAGTCTGCAGATCGAGAGACGAAAAATGTAAGTGTGAAAACATGAATGCAAATGACGGGGTTCGTCTTTTATAGCAGTGTGAAAAACGTTTTTTCAATTAGTGTTTTCATTTAGCTACAGTGAAGTCGCCATTAGAAATAGCGTTTTATTCACAAACGTGATGCACAGTGAAGTCGCTATTCTGAATAGCGTTTTCTCAAAATGAAGCGCTATTAGAAATAGCGTTTTATAAAACCGCTATTCCGAACAGCGTTTTATTAATTAAACTCGCGATTCACAATAGCACCTTAACTATTCATCAAATTTTGGCCTCCAAACAGTTAAAGCGCTATTTGTAATAGCGCTTTAGCTTAGTTTCGGAATTCCTTCAAAACTAGGCCTAGTTTGGGAAATAGGAGGCAAAAGAGGCTTAGTTTGGGAAAAGTCCCTAGTTTTTATGCTTTTTATAATAATTGATTGCTTATGGTCTATTTTATTGTATTTATTATTATTATTATTATTATTATTATTATTATTATTTTTGTTTTTGTTTTTTTTGTTGTTGTTTTTATTATTATAAAACTAAGTGGTCATATTTATAATGTTTTGAACTATTGTTGCAGGGCTCACTAGTAACTAAAGGACCAAGTTTAGCTCCTCTGCTTGGTATAGATGTTTGGGAGGATGCATACTACTTGCAGGTAGTTCTTTGTCCTTCAGTTGTTTCAATGGATATTTATTACAAGGGTAAATCACATTGACCTCCCTTGACAATTGCCCAAACTACAGCTAATCCATTAGTATGAAGAAATTACACCACCATCCCTGATGGGTTAATCGCATCACCCTTACACCCCATGTCATTAATTAACCCTGTTAGGCAATTGGATGAAATTTGATATTGTCATCAAATTTTGAAAAAAAATGCTTCATTATTAATTTTTAACATTTTTGACCAATAAAAAAGATAAATTTGTCATTTCTTATGTTTGTTAATGGAGGTAATGCTTCAGGTCCATTAGGGTAGCTATTGTAATTTCTTTGTACTAATGGGGTCAACTATAATTTGGGTAATTGTTGCGGGGAGCTTCTATTTCCACACATCATTTCTTCTCCGTACACACTTCTTCTTGGTTTGGAAATCAACTTCTGAACCAAAAATTTGAAAATTAAATGTGTGAGCTGAGATAATGTCTTCAACAATGCTGTACATCAAAGGGTCTGTATGAGATGTTTATGTTTGTTTATCCTTGATTTAAATGTTCAAACTTGAGCATCAATGAGCTATAAATTTGTTACCGGGTGACTGTCGTAAATATGATGGGAAGACATTAACTGAAGGACATGAATTAAGAGATTCTAGTGTATCTAGGTTGCATATAAATTAGGAAGTGTTTTAGAAAAGTAGCTCGTTATGCTTTCGGTGCTAAGGCACCCTATGTCTCTTTTCCTCTCTATAAAAGAGAGGTGTACATCTCCTTGTAATTACACAGATATACAACAACTGAACAATTCAGTATTTCTCTCTCTCTCTCTATTCTCTATCACTCTCTCAAATTATTGTTTCAGAAGTGTTTTAGAAAAGTAGCTCTCGCTTTATCCCTGTTCAATCTGCAGAATCTTCGCTATTTACTTTTCTTCTCAATGCGCTTATTACTCTTTATTTTGGATGCAGTACAAAAATGTTAGTCTGGACTACCTGAAGAATATTTGGAAAGTTCTGAACTGGAAATATGCCAGTGAATTGTATGAAAAAGAGTGCCCTTGAACGAACTCTCCATCAGAATTGGTTTTGCAGAGACGGTGTTTATGCTTCTGTTGGTTTTTGAGAGCAAATAAAATGGTGTTACATAGCTGAGGGGGCTCATGTTTCAAATGCGGGCCTTATCAAAAAATAAAAAAAGAAGAAAGAAATAAAAATATTTTTACGACATTTTTTTCTTCTTTCTTATGTTTTCCATGTGTAAAAATCAATAAACATGTTTTATGACCTCTGCTGTTCTATAGTTCTCCAATTAGCGTCTGGCAAACTATCCCTTTTCAACCCTTGTGTACCCAAACCTCCTGGAGATTGCACATGTCATGATTTAATTGCAATGGTTGATGTTTGTTCTGCATTACATAGAGAATTAGAATGAGATATCGAATTGTGATGGCAAATGTGTCCATAAAGGTATTGCCGTGCTTATCAGATGCTTTGAGATATGAAATCACTGGTGAAGCAAGGAATCACTGGCGTGTGCACATGACTCAAAACTGAAGACAACCGCTTATTGAAGTAATTTTATCTTACACGAAATCGTATTTCAAATGAATCAAATTTTGTGAGTGTAAATAGTTTTTTGAGCTCAGTTAGTTGCAGTTCTTTTTTATCAAATGGACTATTGTATGGAAGAAATGACTAGGTGTTTTAGCTCGGTTAATTGGGAAGGATGAGGATGGTTTTGTCAGTTGTTGAAGCATTTTTGGCATTTATGATGACTTTTCAGATTACTGTGATCTTGGTTAGATGGATTTATTTCAATTGAACCAATTTTCCATTCCAAGGCTGTGGAGCTGGATGCCAAATTTGTTTGTTGTTTATAGGGAAAGGCTACCTTGAAAAAGGTTCATATGATATGCATTTGATTCAAAAAAATATAATTTTACCACAAACAATATAGTTTTTATACATTTTGCTTATCTAAAAAATATAACTCTCCGCACATGTAATTTTTTGCTCATTACAAAAAGTATAATTTTTATTACGAAGTATAACTTTGCTTTTCATAACTTTTTGGGTGCATACCATAATTTTACCAATCATAATTTTCATCACAAAAATTATATATTTTCTTACTAAGTGAATCTTTTTAGGGGTGGGTACATATTGTAGCATTTCCTTGTTTCTATTGCATTTGAAAATCACAAAATAGGTATTAGTGTCATTGGTTTTTGTTGAAAAAGAGCAATGTATCTGACTTTCCCCATTGAATTTAGTTTTTCTCGTGCCAAGAAGCAAGACAACGAGAATTGTCCATATCATAAAAGACAAAGTATGCTTTTTGTTCAAACTAGCCAAAAGTTTTATGTCTGCTAAGCCAACAATTACATCTTATGGTGACCAGAATCTTCTTGTTTGATCATACCAAACAAAGTTTATACATGTTCCACTTTGTCAACTTTGTGATTTGATCAAGCCTTGCTGGAATTGTTCTTTTACAAGCATGGGAAAATAATCAAAGTCCCGTTCATCCCCATAAGTCATGAAGCATTGTTAGATAGAGGGTCCTGTTAAGTCAGCGAAAAGAGTCTGCTCCAGCAAGAATTCTGAGTTCACATATATACACTAACGCAGCTGTTCTTATAGTTGTCAAGAGTTTTCCCACATTTTGAGCGATGGAAGCCTTCAATTAAGTTAATGGCTTACAATGCAAGGCCGGTGAACAGCTTGTTCCATTGGTAGCTTCTGGTTTCCCAAATTTGCAGGTTGGGAATGCAAGTCCTTAATTTTTTATGAAACTATCTGTCAAACAACAAGCAATTTTGAATATCGTGTAAGCATACAATACTTTCATTCATCTCCTAATAATCATCATTAAAGCACATGTTGGCCTTCAATGAGTTTAATTTGAAGTCTTACCTGATTGACATTTGTTTTTTCTGTTGCAGGAGACTCGATGCTTTCTCAAGAGGCAACAGCAACAATTGCAGCCTCTACAGCCAGTTTGTTTTATCTACAAGACTAATTTGCTCACAGATCATTCTGAACCATTGATTTCCTTGGCAATCTTCACACACATAGCCATAGGACAGTTTGTTTTAATTGCATTGGAGACAATGTGTGATCTACTAACAGCATATCCTTCCTGCAAAGCCATTTCACCAGTTGGAAATGTCACAAACACGAATTAGGATTACGCTGTTCCAAAGTATCTACACTATGCCAAAACTCAATTGGGATCCAATTTACACTAAATCACCCATATGTGGAATCAAACCTAAACTTGCCATGGAAGCTCTGACTAATCCCGATTTAGTTATTTTATAAGGTTTTGGTAATAGCTGCCAAATAAGTGATGTTCTTTGTTCCTTGCTTTCCTCTTGACCAACCATTTTCCAAAGGAAAAGCTGGTTGATAATTATGCTTTGTACCACAAATTAAATTCAACTTGAAAAAACTGATTCCCTTTTACATCAAAATTATTACCTTTAAAGTTACAAACAGAAGAAGAAAAAAAAACATAAATGATACCATGTTATCAATTATCATCCCAAAAAGCATAAATTAAAGATTTTAACACAGGCAAAAATTAATAGATCAAATAATTCATAATTTTAGGTTGAATTATGTATTTGAATTTCAAAATCATTAAACTAATTTTTATCAAGTATTTACATAAGCATTTTTTGGTAGAAATTCAAAAATAAAACATATAAAAAGTAAGCAAAAGCTACGTAGGCCTAAATAAGGCCCATTAAGGAACATTATTTTTGGTTTGCATTCACTACCCTTTTTAAAAGCAAGACCAATGATAATGCAATGTACCACTTTCAATTGAAGGTTAGATTAAATAAACAAAAACGCTAGGGACTCTAAATTTTTTACTAAACACTCATGTGAGTGTGGATCCCACACCCATGTGAGTGTTTGGTAAAAATTTTGAGAAAATAATTTGTATGCTTAGCATTGCCATTAATTAAATTTAACTCAAAGAACTACTGATGCTATTTCACAAAAAATTATATCCTTGAGTCTTTTCAAAATTTCTATATGATTCTTTCTCAAATAAATCTGCAAATTTTCTATAAATGCTAGAGATATACAAAAATGCTAGAGACCCCAAATATTATACAAAATTCTTTACCAATCACTCACACTCATGTTCATTACTCTAAAAATACCTCGGGTGACAGAGCATTGTTAATTGGGTTCAGAGTACAGTAATGCATTGATTGTGTGTATCATGCACTGGACCTGAGCGAAAAATGCACTGGCAATAGGGACAGCCCAAAATCCAATGCTTCTATGATTTGGCATTATTAATTAGTAACAAAAATTCTCAAGCAACATTGATTGCCTTGTCTGTTCACTCATTTAAAATTGAAAATAGATTACTAGGGCAGTAGGACTCTACAGCATTACCTTCTGCATGATGCTCATCATGGTCTTTAGTGGAGGAGAATTAACTTTGGCTCGTCTTGATACCTGAAACAAAATCAAGAAGAAATCAACAATGAAATTACAAACAACATTAAGGTATCAGTTGCATTTTCTGAGAGTAATTGACAGCATATCATCCCATTGACACCAAGAACCCAAAACATAAAAAGTGAAGTTTTCAACAAAAACCTCATCCAATTTGATATATCCAGCTGGTAACTCGGGGTCACTTTCATCAATCATCCGTATTAATAGCTTTTCCAGATCCAGTCCCATGCCATTGCTTGTCCATCCCCATTCTTCAGCCAAATTTAACATTTCTGTCATGTAGGTAGCATTGTGAAGAGGTCCTGTCCAAAGGGGCCCTATGACGCGAAGTGAACCAGAAACCTGAAAAGAACTAACAGGAATTTAGAATTCTCACGGTAGTGAAAGAATAAACCAAGAATCTCATGTGATATCTCGGTGTGTAGTAGAATCAGAAATAATAATTAAACAATCTCATGTTGTCTGCATTTACCAACAATAACATAAAAGGTAGACTTGATGCAAAGATGCATTGAAGTAATTATGCAATTTTGATATAAATATGAAGTGTCAAAAACAATAAATTAATGGTGAAGGCCGGAGTACAATGTGAGTTTCGAAAATGTTGAGTCCACTTTTATTCTCTCTCTTTCCTCCCTTATTCTTATTTAAAAAGACAGGAATCACAACCAACTATATGAAATCCTTTAAAAGAGAAATTTTACCATTTGACCATATCCACATTTTATTTTTTTTTGTTCTTAATACGCAATGTCCATATATATATATGATACATATGCCTCGATTATATTTGTGTAGTGCAGGGCCAGAGACTCTTCCATTTGAATTTTGAAATGTGCATAGCACAAATGTTTTCAACAAGATATTAATTGGTTGAAAATATTAGTAAACAACTATCAATGCTCTGGATCTTTTGCTGGAAAGAAAAAACATAGGGATAAAGACAAACATTTGCTTCATTGCATGGGCAAGTGATGCAACCAAGTTTATCCCATGAAAATGCTTCAGAATGCCCACATTGCTTGCAGTAGCCGATGAAACCATAATACCTGGCTATGAACATATATGATCACCAAAATATTAAAATTTATACAATTTGAACGAAATCACAATCATACAACACCTTTTGATGGGAAGCTTTCCACGGTTAAACCGGAGCATCACCCTGAAAACAGGTCCGTGGTATGAATAGTAAGAGAAAAGTGGTGTAACATGATAGCCCAATACAGAAGCTTCCCTCACCGCTCCACCTATAAGCATTCGCAGACCAATCTCATTCGAAAATGGCACAGAGCGAACATATGCTCCGTATGCAGCTAAAGAACTAGAAAAAACAGAAACACAGCCATAACCATTGCGTCAGGCAATGTACACAAAGATTGCAAAACTTCACATTCTCTGTGTAAACATCCCATGTCGTATATAACAACCTATTGTATGTAAAGTAGGTTGTAAACAAGTCAAGTAGAGTAACAGGTTGTTCAAGCTTAGTTTGAATACTTAACGAGTTTCAAAACCTATTCAAGTTGGTGATTTACATACCGGGTCAATCTCAAACGGATTTTTTAACAAGTCAAACGCGAATAACTTGATTTTTTATAGTCTCCATATGTTTATCGAGCATCTTGACTTGAAAATTTAACTAGTTCTTGACTTGCTTATATACCAAGCTGATCTTGAACAAATTTTTAACGAGTCGAACACGAATCAAACTCGAGTAGCTTAGTTCAATTTGCAGCCCTAATGTGAACTAACAGTAACCACCTCAAATTGATCCATTCAATCAAGATGAATAAAAAATGGTTTCAAGACAATGTACAGAGCAACAGGAACTAGCTAAACAATGGAAATGTGAAAGTTTAAAAAAAAAAAAACTCACTGGTAAGGCCTGTGACCTCCAGAAGAGAAACCATCAGTGGAAGTGACATAAACCAACCCATCCAATTTCAAAGCACAAAGAGCAGACCTCAGGAAACTCGAATCACTCCCAAACGAATCAATATCAATCAGATCAAAATAATCTTTCTGAAGATAACACTCAGTCATTACCCTATTAGCATCGAAATGAGTCACAACCCACCTCTTCTCATCTCCCAAACCCCTCGGAACCCTAGAAAGATTCTCCAATATAATCCTCCTGTATTCATCGTTCGCGTCATTGGCCAACACAGAGTCCGCCTCTGCCTCCACCAAGTACCGCAGAGATCGAACTCCGCAGCCGCACATTGCGTCCAGGATTTTGAGTTCGCCTTTCGATTTCTTGTAGAGCGAAGCCGCAAGAACGCCGAGGTCGCGGCCAATGGCGCTTTCATGGCGGAAGAACGATTCGCCGATCTCGAATTCGAGCCCTCTCTCGGTTCGGAGCTCGGATTTGCAGACAAAATTGGGTGGTTTAGGGTTAGGGTTTTTGTGAGGAAGGTGAAGGAATGGGGGAGGGGATAGGGTTTTAGGAGAGAGAATTATCATGGTGGAAGATGGTTGGGCTCTGCAATTTTCGCGGGGTTTTTGGATGAGTTTTATCATCAGAACGTTGTTGTGTACATCGCGTGTTTGTCTACTCTGTCAATCAACGGTTGATATTGGATCGTTATGTTAAAAGTCAAAGTCAATTCAACTTTTTTTTCCCCATCAACGGTCGTTTTACAAGAGTGGGTTTTCATCAATATCACACACACCTCAGTCTCCCACATAATCAAGATTTGGTGTTTGTTCTCTTTCACCATAAGGGTTAGGGTTTCTGATTCTGTCACTCCTCTCTTTCTCTCTCTCTCTAGAAATGCTGTGTTTGTGCTTTCCAGACTCCATGGGTACCCAAAAGGAAGAAGAAGAATGGATTGAAAATGAGAAGAGGAAGCATAAGAGAAAGAAGAAACAGTTTTTGCTTTCATCAATGAGGTTCTTTACTTCCCAAGTCTGAGCTTTATGTGTATAATATTGTCATAGCATTATATTTGTATACTTTATTAGAAAGAACATAATAAGAATTCTTTCCTCGTGATTAATATGTTTGTTCGCGGTAATTATGACCTCTTGGAAGAATCAATTATTGACATCTTTGATGAACTAGTTTTTCCTTGTTTGTTTCTTGTTATGGATATTGTCACCACCTGGTTTACCTGATGAAAACTAAAATACCACATTAACACAAAACAAAGATGGGTATGGCAATTTTTATGAGATGTTCACCGGTCATGGTCCTATTTTGAAGAATAGATGAGTGTAATCGTTCTTATGTGGAAGTTTTTTGTTGAATTTATGTGCTGATAGATGATGGGGTTTGAGCCTGGCTTCAGCTACACCATGACCCCGAGTTAAAGAGGTCCATAAGTTTGCATGTTTGTACATTTTAATGTGTTTATCTACAATTTCTGCATTACTAGAAGGGAGATTCTGGAGACATTTGTAGTGAGATCTCTCCATCATAACTCCAATAGTTAGTTCCTTTGAGATTTAGTATGTTAGTTTGGACTTCTTTTTCCCAGATGTGGTTCTGATTTATGTTACACTTTCTTTAAGATGAGCAATGAAAAAAAATACGGGAAGCAGACGCACCCACATAAACACAAGACAAGGTGGGTATGGCAATTTTTCCTCATAAGTAAGGTGGTATGGAAATTGTTATGAGATACACGTTTGTCATGGTCCTATTTTGAATCATAGATGAACATAATCGTCCTTGTGTGGAAATTTTTGTTAAATTTTATGTGTTGATAGGTGATGGGATTTGAGCTTGGCTCCAGCTGCACCATGACCCCGAGTTTAAGAGGTCCATAAGTTTGCAAGTTTGTATATTTTATTCATGTTTATCTACAACTTCCGTATTACTAGAAGGGAGATTCTAGAGTCAATTGTAGGGAGAGTCTCCATCATTACTCCAATAGTTAGCACTTTCGTATGTGGTATGTGAATTTGGACTTCTTTGTCCCAGTTGTGGTTCTGATTTATGTTATATTTTCTTTAAGATAAGAGATGAAAAAAAGAGTCACTTGTGAAAGAAGGATAATGTAGCATATTTATGTCATGGCAGCAGCGCTGGTAAAATTTGGATACCTTTTCCTTTGTTTTCACTTTACGTCTTTCTTAATGGTGGCTCTAGGAATTTTGGTCAGGGTATTCAAGAACTTAGACTAAAAACTGTTCAGGTATTACCTTATTTTTCTTTTTCTTTTTTTTTATGTGAGGGGAGCTTTTTTTGGTTTTTGTACACTACTACTATGTCTCAAGAAAAGTACTCAGAAATGAAGTGTATGGACTAGATGCATTTTGAATGTGGCTCAAATCACTCCAAGTTCAAATATATATACTTTTTGGTCACTTTTTCTGGGTACTAACATTTTTTATGAGAGTATTACATTCAGAATTAAAAGATACTATGAGTAGATTGTGAGGTAGGCATGCAAATTTTAAAGTGAACAAGTTGAGTGTTCAAAATTTATAAGATGGGTATTCAAAATATGTGAAATTGAGTATTCAAATTATGAAGACTGGGTTGATTAACATACATATATTATGTATATATACATAAAGAAAAACGAAGTTAGGTAGTGGCGCTGCCCCTGATTCTTCTTTCTTATGGGAGTCATGGAAGTTTCTATTCTGGTGTGGAGTTCATTACTTATCATCTATTGCCAAATACTATTGCCTTAGTGTACTAAGCATGTGCAATACATAGAGAAATTTCTTGAGGAGATTTTCTCTTTGTTCAACCAAATATAAACAATTCTCTTGTGCAATGAGCATGCATGTGTATCTTTTAAGAGAATGATATGATTTCATTTTTCTAGTAGTTGCAATGGTTCTTACAAAAATGACATTATTTTGCCTTTATGTGTAAAAAAGAAATGAGATTATTATTTAAAGCAGGTTTAATGAATCGTCTAAGTTCCAGAGATTATTCTTAAGTTCAAGTTTTAGAAATTGCCTAAAAAAATAGATTGCAAGAATAAAATCAAGTAGAGATCCAGGGATTATTTCCCCACTAGATTATGCTTGTTCAATCTTCACAAGCTTTGTGCAAAAAAAGAAAGAAATTTTTTTTTTTTTTGTTACCTTTGTTTTTTAAGACCAAGGGATTGGTCTAGTGGATGAGGCACTCCCTTACTAGGTGTGATGCTTTAAACTATTTTAAATTGCTCAATTTTAGATACTAAAAGAATGCATGCAACCTTCTCAGGGAGAAACAAGGGTGGAATGGAAGATTAGATTATAATTTTCTGTATGCGCAGAATAATAAAGTTCAGTTCTGATTGGGGGTTTCTATTGAATAAAGACTTTAGATGATTTTAATCCTGACCCCTGAATGTTTTAGACCCTCCCAAACAACTCACAACACTCCAAAATTGCATCTTTAATTTGTATTAGACTTCATTACAAGAATGACAAGTTGCTCGAGTGTTGGTGTGACATTTATGGGAGATTCCTCCAAAGTTGATGTATTTAACAGTTTTTAGAAGGAAAGATGGCCTGGAACTTAGTAATGAGTTGGGGTATTAAATACGTACTTATCTTCCTATGTGAACATTATCAGTAATTAGTATGAACAATGCAAAATGGGAAAGTACCAATATGCATTAAATGTCATTAATGCCAGCCTTGCAATGTTGCGAATATGGATAGGAAAAAAAAATGTTTTTTCCCATTGTAACCCACTAGTATAATCACTCTGTGCCTCTTTTCCGTCATTTGAACAAATAAAGATCATTTCAACTTTCAGAGAACTTGTAATCTTTTCCCTTTATTTGCTGGTCAAACTCAATTCTTGGGCTTTTCTTTCAATAATCAGACTTTATTCAATGGTAGGATCTGTTCTCTTATTACTCAAATCTGTGCTCTTTCTGTTTCTGATTTTCATTTCCTTTTCCCTGAAACCCTAACTCTCATTTCTAGACTTTCCTTAAGGAGAAGACTTAGGTTTTTTCCTTCTCTTGCTTGTTTCTCATTTGTCTGTGTCCTTTAACCTGATTTCTCCCATGTTGTGAAGAGTATTGCCTCCCATTTATACCCGAAGCAAGAGACCCTAGTTCCTTTATCTTTGAGAATGCATATCTCACACTCTTTTTTCCTTTCCAAAGTAACTGTAATTTGTCCAATTTTCCAAGAAAGTACCAATGTGTTTAGCTAATACAGTAATCCTGGGGTTTCTTATCATGGAGCTTCTGTGTATTTGTAGTCCTGAAAACGTAGTGCTTAAAGCTTCACAAAACAGAAGTATGTTGGAGCTATTTTGGAGTGGCAAATCAGCTGGCTATCTTCTCAATTCCTTTTAAACTTCTCATTTTCTTGAGTAAGTTCTGCTCAGTTTTAGTTAAATTGTCCATCCAAGACTTTTTTGGATGATGATTTCATTTTATTCTTGCTCTGTAAATCATTGTTAGGCTGTTCCTAAGACTGGATGCATCCATTTTTTTTTTAGTTTTGCTGAAAGCCCTCAGATTCATTTCACTCTCTATTCTAGAGGTCTTTGAAGATGTTTTGTACTCCATTGGTTGCATAACCAAAACTGGGCATTAAGTTTGTGAGGCTTCTGTTGTTTCTTTCTGGACACCAAAACTTAAGGCTTTTCCAGTAATGAAAAGAGCAGAGTATTTTTCATCCTTGCCATCTTCCTCCTCTTTCTTTAATACACCCTCACACACATCAATTGATGCCCATTCTTGGCTGGTAGCTGAGCAAAGTGTCCAACGTATATTGTCTACCATACAACCAACTGTGGCTTCTGAGCATAGGAGGAATGAAGTTATTGGCTACCTTCAAAATATAATCAGAGAATATTTTGGGACAGAGGTGAGAAATCGTTTACACCTACTTTAATGAGTTTTTTTCAGTTACAATGTTAAATGTATGGCTAGGCATTTCCTTACTTTCATTATAATTTTCCTTTTTTCTTTTTCTTGTGTATGTATGTATATTTAAGCTCTATTTATATTATGTGCTTTTAGCTTTCCATGATAATGCAGGATAATTTTATGAAACTTGGGTTAATATTGCCCGCAATAGGTATTGTGTTTGGTTTTGATTATGGAAAACTTCTAGGGTAGAGTTTTGAGGGAGAAAGTTTCTAAGGTTTCTACATGTAAAAGGCTAGGTTGGGCTTGATTTTTCTACATATTATGTCATTGAAGGCTTGGTGTGAAGTCTTGGGGTTGAACCACGTAAGTGAGTGTATGTGTAAGCTTAGTCAAACATAACTATTCTTGGCGAGCGGGCCACCCACCTTCGAATGGTGTTGATCCTACGGACTCTGAATTGATTTGCCTCTGGCCATTGGGTACGCCTGTCTGGTTTTTGTATAGAACTGGATTGGCCTTCTTTGTACTTTAAGGTAAATAGAAAGTGTTGGAATGTATCTCACATCGCTTGGAGTTGCCCCATCTGTGTTAGTTATAAGGCTCTAGTTTCCCTCTCCTTAATACCTGTGTTTTAAGGAGAAGTGTGGGCTGGGCTTTTCAACTTGGTATCAGAGCTTGGTTGGATCTGTGATTGGTGGGCTATTTGTCCAGCTAGTGTGTGTTGTGATGCAGGAGGGTGTGTTGGAATGTGTTCCACATCGTTTGGAGTTGATCCATATGTGCTAGTTATAAGGCTGTAGTTTCCCTCTAGTGTGGGTTGGGCTTTTCAACTGAAGGTTCCCCAAACCAAGCGTGCTTGCTTTCCTGGTCTTCCAGCTCAGCTGGCTGCTTTCTCATTCATTCCATTTGTTGGTGCCTTTCACAGTAACTGATTTTCCTCATTGAGATATCTCCCAAGGATACCTTCTCTACCATTTTCCCAAGATTTTTCGTTACAAAATTGCTCTCAGAGTCAATTCATAAAGAAGAGGAATGAAAAAGGTGTTCAGGCTTGGGCTTGGCGCTTGAAGGTTTGACCCGGAGATTGGCGGGGTGTCACCGGACTTCTCCTTCAAAGGTAAATCTAATCTGTCATCGTTGGAGAGTGCACTGTCAAATTCTATAATATAAATAGAACAAGGGGTTAGGTTACATATGTAAACATTGGTGGTTAACAACCACCTACTTCTTTGAAACATCAAATCGGTGTAGTATGAGTTTTATGTTAGTAAACGAAGAATTGGGTAATAGAAAACCCTATGTCCAAAAGTAGACCACCATTATCTAATCAGGCTAGACAAAAACTTCAGGCCAAAAAAGCTTAAATACGAGGAAATGTTGAAACGACAAGAAGAATGCTTTTAATGAGACAACACTGGAGGGTGGAAATTCTTGAGAATAAGGAAGCACGTCGACTCTGAAAGGAAGCATAGTAGCCGCTGATTGACTCAATAAAAGAGATTTCCTAGAGAGGCTCAATCAGTGTAGCAAGTGTTGGAGGCTATCTGAACAACTAGATTCAATTGGTAACGACTTACCTGACTATATCCCCTTGCTAACTCCTAGCTCTCTGAAAACTGCCCCCTACCTAGGCCTCCTGTCCTCAACACTGAGAACCCACCCTTGTCATGTCCAAGCACTGAACCTTCTGGACTCTCCGAAAATGCTGAAACCTCCAGCTCATATTCCAAAGGGAGGCCCTTAGCCCATTCCTGTCTTGAATGAAGGGTAGGTTAAGCATCACCCCTTATTAAACTATGAGTTACAAAAGGAAGGCAAGCTTTGAGGCATACATAGTTGGTTGGTTATTTGTCTTTCCCATCCATGCTGCTATTGTAGGTGCCTGGAATTCATGGATTCTCTGGTCGAGGGGAGCCGATAAGTTCAAACCAAAAAGGAAGGGCAAAGTATCAACCACATCTATCCCATGTGAATGCACAACTTTGTCCCATGTCCCAACCAAGTCAAACCTAGGACACAGGCTCAAAGCTAGGACTAGTTCCATGCTTTGTCATTCGTCTGTGCCTCTGCCCCTCTCTCAGGTGCTGATGATTCATAATTCTGTACTTACTTCCATCGGTGATCTATCCTCCCTGGTTATCTGTTAATCTCAGTTGCTTTTCTTTGTATTCTGCTTTGAACATTCAGTCCACCGAAATGCCAAAGTAGACTTTGCCTTGTTGAGTTTGAAGAATAGAACATGAAATCCAGCATGCTTTGGCACATAGAAAGAGGGTCTTTGGAAGGCCAACTTTGGTTGGGCAGCACGATAATCTCATAGTTGAATATTTCTTTTTATATTACTGTCTTTCCTAACTTTCAAGACGAAGCCGGGCTGATATGATAGGCGGGTGAAGGGAGCAAGACCAAGCAGAGCTACTGGTGGAGTGGCAAAGGAGGCCTATCAAAAGTTGCACTTCCAGGATTTCTGAAATTAGTTGAAGGATTTATGTGGGCAGCTATTTTATGGTGTTGTAGTGTGAATTAGTGGCCAAAGTGTAAGGAAGAATGTAAGCTTGATCTGCTAGGGTTTAGGAGTTGAAAAGGTAACATTTTGATGGTTGTAAACTGTAAACCTGAGAATAGTAACTAAAGTCTGTTCGTGAAGAAGAAGAAGAAGAAGAAAACAATAGCTTGCCCTCTCAAGGGTTAAGGAAATCTCACACAAAACACAATATTAATCGTTCATAATATCAACTACGTTGAATCATTGAGATTACAGATATAGGCTAAAAGATGATCCTACTTCTATAAAGATTAGGAGTCCAATTTTGGAAACTAACAATATTTGGTAACTAGATCTTCTAGATCAATTACACTCTGAATAAAAATCAAATGGCATCACTTGGCCCAATTTATGACTCATGGACTATGAATATACTTCCTATCTCTAGCAATTGTTGCAATTATCAAAATACAGCTAACTACTAAAACCTGATATAATAAATGCTATAAAATCTGTCCAACATTATACTAGGTTAGAATAATTATCTAACTAAAGACCCCAAACTCTGCCATGGACATTTCTCTTTGGACCCAAAAGGCTTCTTGATAATCATTTGTCCCATAGCCTTTGCTTTAGTCTTTCAAAGCCTATCATTCGTATTTTGGCCATGCAATAGCTGTTGAATCACAGGGTTTTCACAAGTTGGATTTTCATGGAAATACAAACAATCATAATGTTTCTTCAATGTTCATGACGTGGGGTGGTTTGTTTTCAAGCTTTTGCAATGGTATTGGTACTAAAGTATATCATGTATGACACGTGAATGTCAATTATCATCCTTACTATGTTGGTTTAGCACTTATTATGTTTCTTAGGATGTCATCATTAGTTTTTAGTCTTTTTCTTATGAGAAAGCTTTATGAACAAAATCGCCAAAAAGGGGGCTTACCCTGTCCATTCATTAAAAAATTAAAACGTAAAAGATGTTACGAAGATGAAAGATTTGGGGGATATCACACCCCTTTTGCTGATGAGACGTTTGTACCTAGCACTCAGTATTTGGCACTCAATACCTCATTTTCCTAATTTGTTTGGCTCCTCAATGCAACTGAACATGCATCATTTTAGCAAAAAGCTTGGGTAACTATGGTTGGTTATTGTTTTAGACACGTATTTCTTGCTGCTGTTGGACAAACTAGGATAACAGTAACACTGCCCAAATACTAGCCAAACTATAGTCTATACCTTAGTACGTCATCTTATTTGCTTCTTCATTGAAATAACTAGCATGCCAATTTTTATGATCCTCAAATGCACTGGGTACCTGACGGGAGTGGTGATGGAAGTAATCCTTGCTCATTTAAAATTTCTTTCTTAAAAAATTTGGCATTCTTTTATTCTTTTATTTCTTTGTCCTTGAGGTTCATGCTTACGAGCCGCATTGAGCTTTTTTAGCATATGAGAACATTCATTCAGCATGGGAGTTTATTGTTGTCAATAGCTTACTTACTATGCTCCTATTTCTTAACTTATGAGAACATTTATTCAATGTTTGACTATTTATTCCCCTAAAATTTCTTTTCTTTATTCTGTGCAATGTATCAAAATTATCATTATGATTATGTCTACATGCAGAAACAAAGTCATTGCAGATAACTACTGTAATTGTTAGCACCACCGGCAATTTTCATTTTTGTGCATTCACTAATTTCAAACGAAACAAGAAACCATGCTTTGTTTTAGTAATTGGGATTAAGGCTGTTTAGTTGAGTTCACTGTGCTTAGCTTATTAGTTAAGTGAAGTATCTGCATAAAGCTATTCACCAAGTCCAAAATGTAACAGATTGAATTTTCTCTGCAGGTTCTCCCATTTGGCTCAGTGCCACTGAAAACCTATCTTCCTGATGGAGATATCGACCTGACGGTTGTTTGCCGTCAAAGTACTGTGGAGGATTTGACCGGATATATATGCAGTTTCCTTGAACGTGAAGGGAAGAAGGACACCGAATTTGTTATAAAAAAAGTTGAATACATTCATGCACAGGTTTTGTCGTTTAACTTGATTTATCTGGTTTTTTTTTTTTTTTTTTTAATTCAGGAAATGAACTTACATTTAACCTAAAAAAATTTCTGTTAAGTTTAGGTTTATCTTTTGTCAAAATTTTATGTATGACTTGAATCGTTTTTTCTTTCTTGACATGAGTTTTTGGTTTACCTTGCCCATACCTGCCATGGGGAAGAGTGCTAAGATGTTAAAAAGGCCATCTATGTTGTAATATGCTAATATGTTCACTGTTTGTATTTATGGGTGATCTACAAGTTGCTGTGAATCCTCATTTCCCCACTCTGAAAGAACAAATGACTTTCGATTCTCTCCCTTAATTTCAAAACTACCATGGTCACATCAGTTGGTAGAAACGATAGACATTTGACTCAATTTATTGACAAATTTATTCAGCTAACTCCTATGCTTTTGTCCCATTTTGGGATCTTTTAGAATGACGTGAAACTCAGTCTTAATTATTTGAGGGAATGTTTTGAAGAAATCTGTCCTAGGTTGACTCTTAGATTCTTTGCAAATATGCTGTCAATGTCAATGCAGCTACTGACATTGTCTTCGTGGCAGTGCTGCCATCACTTTGCTGCCATAAAACAACTTCCACTTCCACCATCATCTTGACCAACACACCGACATGGGAATTTTCAACAAGTACTTACCTGGACCTGGCAGGAAATAAATATATTTTATTAGTATACATGAGTTTTGTGTTATAATTTACAAATAGATTTATAGAAGAAACCATTTTCCACATTTGAGATGTTGTGTGAACATGAAGTCTTCATATTTATTTTAAAAGCTCAGCCCTAAACAACTTGAAAGTTTTTTACTTGAGGGTTCCTAAAATAATATGTATTAAAGAGGAAATTTAATAGATGTAAATCTGCAATGTTTTGATTTTAATTATTGACTCCCAAGGTTTTTATTTTTTATTTTTTATTTTTTAATTTGTGATGCGTTCATATGGAAGGACATGTGTGGCCCCAAGTGTCTAATTCTAAAAATTAGAGACTAAAAGAATGGACACTTTTGGATGCATGCCTTCTTAGAAGTGTTTATAATTCTTAATTTGCAATGAACAAAACTTTTACATGCAAAAGTGAATTCCTTCCATGATCTATTACTGTTGGGTTCTAATATCTTGACAATGGATTTGCAATGGACAAAATTTTATTTCATGCTTGATTCCTTGCCCTTCAATTGTTTGCATCTAAATCAAATACCTAAGATGATTAAGGCAGGTAGGTTTGTGATCTCCTTATTTAGTTTTTTGTTTTGATAAGCAGTATGTGTAGTAGGAAACATATATTATAGAGGTAGACATTTGTGGATAGTGCTGAACTGCTGAGCAGTCTTTTCAGAAAGCAAACAAAATCACCTCCAGGACTTATTCAAAGAGCAAAAATAGATGACAAATGTAATATGAGCAGTATGTGTAGTAGGAAACATATATTATAGAGGTAGACATTTGTGGATAATGCTGAACTGCTGAGCAGTCTTTTCAGAAAGCAAACAAAATCACCTCCAGGACTTATTCAAAGAGCAAAAATAGATGACAATATGTAATATGAGCAGTGCCAGAGACACCAAATTCCAATGGAGATATAACTATCAATGAAGTGTTCTTGTTCAGCGTTTCCCCTTTTTTGGCTGATAAATGCACCACCAAGTTTGGGGGCTCAGAATCTGCAAGCCAAACTTAGCCGCTGGTAGGCAGCGGGCGGTGATGGGATATTTTAGAAATCTGTGTATTATTTTTTTCGACAATGCTACATAGCTCAAATTTTGTGGCTCAAAAGTGGCTCAAATGGCCAAAACGACGTCGTTTTGAGTACAGAACAACATAAAAATGGCCAAAACGACGTCGTTTTGGCCATTTGAGCCACTTTTGAGTTACAAAATTTGAGTTACGAGACATTTTCCTATTTTTTTCTTTTTCAAATGGTTTGAAAAAACCCATGTTAGGGAGAGCTCACAAATGCATAATATTATCAAACCCTATTGAATGTTGTTAGCCATGGAAAACAGTCTAAGATTTCATGAAGTGGTGGAATTAGAGAATATATTTTAAGCTATTATCTTAAAAAACCAAATTGGTAATGCACATCGACACAATAACTAAGATGCCAAGATAATGATTGTTTGTTGAAGAGGGAAAAAAAGTTTATAGACACTATTATTGGGGAAATGTGAATGTGAAATTAAGGAATTATTTGAAACAGAAAGTTGATGCATTGAAATCTTTTAGATTGGCTTAATGAGCCTTAATCCAACTACTCATGGTCTGTGTTACATAGACTCTTCTATTTCCCACACAATACCCGTGTCCATTGGATATGACATGGGTAAGTGTGTGGGATATGTGTTCCAGCACTCGTATCAATTTAGACACTTGCATCCTTTAATTTGTTACATTATATGATAAGAAAAACATTGCATTTGCTAATAAAGCAATATTTTTAGTCTCTCACATGAATTGGATATAGAAATTTCATATTTTTTGTGAATTTTATTCAATTTTAAGTATATTTCTATATAATTTACAACATTTCATCTGAGAATAATATATAATATGCAATATATGTGTGTATATGATGTGTCCCCGTACCCATATCCAATTTTCGCACTAACTTTTGGTCTCAAGGAAAAACCATTGAGCATTTCCTACAAAGACATCAACTCAAGAGTCTCCCGGTCATTGGGATTTCTAAAAATAAATTGAAATCCCAAGAAATCAGAACCAAATAGAAATGAGCCATAAACGCAATAGAAATGAATAGGAGTGAGCCAACCGATACAAATGTGGACATAAACGCAATAGAAATGAATAGGAGTGAGCCAACCGATACAAATGTGGAAACAACACGTCACAGGAAGAGTCACCCACTCCATTGAGCATTTCCTACAAAGACATCAACTCAAGAGTCTCCCGGTCATTGGGATTTCTAAAAATAAATTGAAATCCCAAGAAATCAGAACCAAATAGAAATGAGCCATAAACGCAATAGAAATGAATAGGAGTGAGCCAACCGATACAAATGTGGAAGCAACACGTCACAGGAAGAGTCACCCACTCAAACATCCTCCCAAATCGAGTATACGCATCATTAACCACTTTGATGATAAGAATCTAAAAAAAAAAAAAAAAGAGGAAATATTTTAGATATAGATTTCCATGGAAATCAACAATTACCCTTATTAACCATAGAAGGACTTTTACCATTCGCTTGAACCCCATATTTAGTCTTTATATTGGAATGACAAATGTATTACTTTCTAAAGGGAATTTCCATAGAAGCTTTCCTAGTAGAGCAATGTTCCTTGCCATGATGTTTCCAATGGCAAGACCCCTTTCTCTTTTGGGAGAGACAATCTCCCAATTCACCAAATAATCTTTTTTCCCTTCACCCGTCCTTCCCAAAGAAAGTCCCTCGTCATTTTTTTTTTTGTCAATTTTCTTAGCCATCCTAATTGGAATCTTAAACACAAGTAATAAATGGGAATGTTACACAACATAGACTGTACCAAAGTGAACCTACATCCTCTAGAAAACAAGGCTCTTTTTCAGCCTTCCAACCTTACCAATCTTCTCTATCACTGGGCCCAAAAAGACTCCAATGGCAGACCTAAATACTTAAGTAGAAGCTTCTTTATGGGACATCCTAGAACTACTTCCAACCTTTGTAATAACGAAAGCAAATTAACTACCTTAGAATCTTCCCTATAAGAGAAAAAGATAGTATCATCTATATACTGTAACTGGACATACAAATCCTAATAACAAATTGTCATCAAGACCATCCCTGGACTCAATTTCGTCTTACTTTTCATTTTTCTAATGAATTTATTCTTTGTCCCGTTTATGTTTCCAAATATCTCCCTATTCAATTTTCCTTTGATCATTTTTGATTTCCTCATAAACTTAAAAGCCCCTCTTTCATGGCACCTACTCCTACTCCAACACTCTTCGAAAGATCTCTTAAAAGATTGATGGTCTAGCGATATATTTTCTTTTACCTAAACGGTGATATCCCCCACTTAAAATGACAACTTTCTATCACCATAGGACGATGATCTAATACAACTTTAGGGAGCACCCCCTGTCTGATATTTGAAAACCTTTCCTCCCAACCCAAAGAAAACAAAAAGCTAACATACAACACACCAGATTAGACTGAAGGTGAGACCACAAAAAAACAAGCATTAGACAAAGGGGATCAATCAAGTCACATTCCCTAATAAAAGCATCAAAATTCCTCATACCCATAGTAACCATAGACCCATTGAGTTTTCAAGAATGAAACCTTACCACTTTAAACCCCCCCCCCCCCCCAAACCCATGATCTATGGTGCGAGGAGGGTGCCCTGAAGTTGGAGCCTCCACATTAAATTCATTTGGCACACGAATATGCCTCTTGAAAGTGGCCTTATATAGATCCTAGCAGCTTTAGAAAAGGTTTCTAAACTTGACAATTTTGTGTGAAGAGGTCATTTATTTTCTAATTGATATTGCATATCTAGGACCCTACATATCTTCATTGTATAGGATCATTTGTTGATTCATTTTCAATGGGAGGAAGTCATGGTCCCTTGTTGTGATAAGGACTGTAGAGGAATCCCTCTCCCTTTCCCTTTTTTTCTCTTCCCTTTTTTTAATTTATTATTTCTTTTGTCGTCTTTAAGGTGGAGAGTTTAGTGTGGACATGGCACATATGCCTTTGGCGGAGTGTTTGGAATGAGTAGAGCCAGCTCTCTTTTCAAAGAGTGGAGAAGTAGGGTCTACAACTAATTTTGGTTTTACCTCCCTTTATATCTAGATTTGGGGGAGTAATTCCTTTCCTTTCAATTCCTTTGATTTTTCTTTTTAGGGAGATGGGAATAATGTAATTTTTAGTTGTTTTATTCCTTTTTATTGTATGGGTCACATGTGTTGTAGATAAGATTATATTGTTAAACATATTGTTATGCAACCCCCTTAGTTGTCT